TGAGCAGGGGAGAATGTGTTAACTCTGCACAGAAACATTGGCTGGCTTGGTAAGGACTAGAACCAGTGACGTTCTTGCTGTGAGGCAACAGTGCTAAGCACTGGGCCACCGTGCCACCTATCTAGGAAAGGAGGAGTAGGGGTGGAAGGGGGGATTCTTCAAAACGAAGATGGCTGTGATATGGAACTTAGGGTATTTATAGTGGTTTAGGAATCGTCTGATTGGGGAATCATAAATTGGATAGTATGCAACCAGCGGCAAGCAATCATAAGCACGTGATCCTCTCGAAATGATTTTAAAAATAAACTTCACTTTGTTTATTCAATTCTCTTTTAGCAGATGTCTTTAAACTGTGGGGTAAACCGGAGCACCTGGAAGAAGCCAACATGAGGAGAACATGCAAACTCCACACAGAAGTGCCATCTGGGCCAGCTAGGACTCGAACCAGCGACCTTCTTGCTGTGAGGTGACAGTGCTAACCACTGAGGTGAGTGGCTTTAACAAACCGCCTGTACGTGACAGTCTTTTTCTCTCCATATGCATCAAACAACTTCTTATTATATTGTAAAACAGCTTCTTATAATTATCTTGTTGCTACACACTACTCTCTCCTTTCTGTATGCTCGTGGCAAGGAAGATAAAAACAAATGGAAGAAATATTTAATTAAACTAACTTTGACTTATCGTAGCATTTATATACAGGTACTGCTGCTCTCTGATGATATGAAGAGCTTCTTTTATGCTCATTTGTAGGTCGTTTTGGATAAAAGCATCTGATAAATGAATAAATGTAAATGTTCTTTCAAATTACTCCAAAATGAAGAATGGAAATATGAATGTAAGGCCATAAGAGAAAATTTGGCTTCATGATAGATGGTACATAAACCAGTTCTTTTGTCATGCTGCTTTTCCAGAAATATAAGTATAATATGATAATTCCTAAAAAATCCTGATTTTTGTTTTTTTTTTCATTTTGAAAGATAAATCCTTGCACTAAATCTTTAAAGTCAAATTCTAATGGTTTGAGGTGTACCTGTCGTTGAGCCGTTATCCAGATGGGTAGACTTCCATTATCCCAGTAATCATTAACAAACTGCGTCATGTAGTATTGTTTCTTTTCCTGAGTAGTTGTGTTAAACCAGTTGTTATGAATGACACCATGGTTCTCAATGTACCTTCCTAAGAAATGCAACAACATATTTTTTCAGCGTTACTCATTTTCTTAAGTGTTCCACTAAGACTTTCCTTCAATATTACAAATGAGTGCATACATTTGGCAGTCATATATAAAAGTTACTTTGCATTCAAGTCTCTTCATTTTGAAATTCACACATTCCCTTTAAAATCAAACCTCTGACCTTGGCATTGCTGTTGTGCCATTTTGAATTATATGATTATTTTAAAACTGCAAATCCATTTGGTTATTCTTTGAGTCTATATTTACAATATATGAAGTTGCCCCAAATGACTTATACATTTAAACTAAAATTAAACATTACATTTATTTGCATTAGATAAAAAATCACAGCATGTGGTCTAATTTTTTTTTTCAGAACTAACTCTTTATTAGACTGTGGTGCTATACAGTACATGGACAAGTTAGTGTCTGCATCAAATACATTTTACAAAAGTAATTCAGTTTAGATTAAAAGGATATGCAAGAAAATCGCCTCATATAATGTTTTAAATACATTATTTTGGAAAAAATAATTAGGAAATAATGTTTCATTGTCATTTATACTGTAGTATAGGATGTATTTATGTTATGATGAAACAACATACTTAATATGACATGTACTTATCAGAACAATGAGTGTTTTTATTAAGAAAGATTATTATAAAGAAATGAATAAAAAAAGGTAAATCCTGGTGTTTTGAAGGATGGTGCCAGAGTATAAACATTTAAAATGACATTCAATAATATTTTTGGACCACACGCTTGAATAGTCTTTTAATATGTCATCATTTGATATCAACACTAAATATGCATCTCAAACTTTTTACATTTTTGGTATATAAACATTTACACCATATGACATGGCAAAAATACCATGATATATTCTTGCTTAAAAATAAAATAAAATTGAAAACAGGTCACATTATTGTGCGTGAAGAAAAAAAAATATTGCATATCCTTTTATAATTTCGAATGGCACATAAAATCTTAAAATATTATGAAACATCCATTAGTCTAATTAAGAACAACTATAATTCAACAAACCGTAGAGCATCTGTACATTTGGAGGGTAGCATTTATTATTGTTTGATCTAAAACTTGTAATTTTAGAGTCGCTATATATTATGTATTCACTTTAAATTTCTAATATATTGCTGTTTTCCCTTTCTCCTTACCAGATAAGAGGGTGAAGTGTGTAGGACTGGTGATGGTCAGGAAAGGTGGAGTGACATATGCTGCTTTGACTCCATCCACAGCCATCTTATCCAGATTTGGGGTGTCCACATCTCGGTCGTAGTCCCATCTGAACCCATCAAAGCTGATTAGGAGCAGTTTGTTTTTTCCTGTGGTGCAGTGACCTCTGGTAGGAGCAGAGAGAGATGCTGGGAATGCAAGAAGCAAAATACTCAGTGCCAGTAACATGACAGGTATTCCACTCCAGGTGCTTCTGATGTAAAAGTTTAGCTTTTCTCTGGATGCTTTGAAGGTTGTTCCTGATCTAACAGTCTCAGCTTTTAACTGCTCCTTTTGTCTGTGGTCTTTGCCATCTCATAAAGTACACATTATTGATGTTTATGAGAAGAATTACACTATCTTATGTTATCTTATCAAGTGTCTTATCAGGGGTTATGGGACAAAAGCAATTCGCAGCTTATTTCGAAGTGATTTTTCCAAGATTTACGACTTGCTTGTAACATGGAACTTGGTATTTTTATATCAAGATTGAATAGTGTGAAGGTAAAAGATAAGTATCTAAGTAGTCATCACTTTCACATTGCCTAATTAAGTTATGAAGCTATTATGACAGCAAAAAAAAAAAAAAAAAAAAGCATTTGGACTTTATCAATCAGACAGTGCTTCTAAAGGTTAAACAGTTAAACCAGTGTTAACTAGCTTAGACGCTCATGCTGGCTTTTTTAGCAGAGAATCTTTGTTAAAATATGCATGATCATGCAGAACAAAAGGTTTTTCCATTGCTTATACCCACACACTATTTATGCATATTTTTTAATATTATTTCATTCTGAAATTATGCGCATTTGAAATTGTAAAAATGTGGTCTGAGTAAATGCATATGTTATGAATGTTAATGCATTTGAGTGCTAGTTTCGTGTTCCTAATCTAATTTAGTATAATTGTACAAATCCATAATTCTAAGAAATTTTAATGATTTTTGCATTATTCAAAACCACTGCTTAAGTTGCACTCTTGAGGTCATTGTTAAGCACTACAATCATACTACCATTGAGTTCAAGGCCAGTTCATGGTGTTCTTATGTATTGTCTCAGGTTTTTGTTGGCCTTTTTTATCTGCAGCTTCTGTTGAACTTCAGTTGTGAATGAGTTTCTGATTAGAGTATAAAAGCTTTAAACATTCATAGTGAATCGGTACGTTTATAATATAAACACAAAAATACTGAAGAATAACGTATTGGTAAAATTGCTCAGCTTTTTTTCTAATTATACAATATTCAAGATAAAATAACATTAATACAATGCACATAACATTACTTATACAGGTCATTTGATTTAACAATTTTGGCAAAGAGAAGTTCATAAAAAAACATTCACTGACAGTATTTGTGTCAACATATTTGGTGGATAGATATTGTAATAAGTTAATAATCTATTAAAAAAGGTAACTACACAAATCAATTGTTAGATAAACGAGATCTCAGTCTTACAAACTAGCAATGCTTTCTGTATTATTCAGAGTTGTACACAGTTATTCCCAAGCACCCAACAGTAGTTTTAGACCTACAGTAACTAATGATTTGAACACCACTGACAGATATTCTTTTTGACTTCTTGTTTGATTGGCAATAAGGTATATGCACAAGGACTTCTAATTTGCAGTAAGCCAGCTCGATAACACTTTTTTTTGATGGTCTATTTGAGTATTAGTAAACTGCCTGCTTAATATCTGTTGATACTGCTTCTTCAATAGACATTTAACTGACTATAAGAAACTTTGCAAGTACATGTCAACTTACACTAACCCTATCCCCAACCTAATAGTCTACTTATAATCTAATGAGAATTAGTTGCCATGTAGATGCAATGTAACCTAAATTCAACAAACGGACCACCAAACTAAAGTGTGACCGCCTACTCAATCGATTCCAGTCAACTGTCTTGCCATTACAAAATCCCCACATTAAAGATCTGTTCATTTGAAAAATCAATGGTCTTCTCTGCCTGATTGATATACAATAAAAAGGGTCTCAGACCGAACAAGAAGCCCTAAATTAAAATGATCTGCACCATGTCTTTAAAATAATGAAATTTATGTTTATTACAGTATTTTCATTGTAGTTTCTTTGATTGTCTGCTGCTCCTAAGGGTGTTTGCATTAAACGTTTTTTTTATCACGTTTTACACCTCAACAACTAAATGCTAAAGTCTGTTTCACTGATGATACTTTATTACATTACATCACAGATGCTGTATATGGAAATTTAAATAGTCACATTTACCTTTTCCCTGGAAGTTTATCGGTGGCTGAAAAACACTAGCTGTGCAAAATACAGCTAGTGTCGCCACTGGCTTGCTTGGTTTTGGGACTTATGAAGCTGTGAATCAATGGATTTGCTCTTCACGTTTTGGACTTCAGGCAAAATTAAACCACACTGAACTGAACTAAACTGAACTTCAACTCTGAAAACTGGACTGAAACAGTTTCAATTTACTAGAACTTCTATGTTAAGCTGCTTTGACACAATCTACATTGTAAACGGGCTATAGAAATAAAGATGAGTTCAGTTGAGTTGAATTGAATATACTCCATTTAATGGTTTGCACTTTTAAAAAAGGCCCAACACACATTTCAATTTATAATGCCGTTTATTATTTGCACATTTTCATAAAAATAAATTTGTGAAATCATTCTTCATATGAAAATATAATTTTCAGAAGTATTATTATAGGTTTATTATAAATTCTGCAGTTGTGAAAACAGTTTTTTTAATATATATATTTTGACCTTTAAAAAAAACCATCCACTTAGAATGATGTTTGTTTGGAGTCACCTTGCATCTCATCTTCATATCCTTTCTCTATTTCCCTGTTGAAGAATAAAGGTAAAAAAAACAGATCAGATTTTCTAAAAAGGGAAGAAACTGTCCCAAAAAATAATGTGTTAATGTAGCTTTGTGCCCTACTTTGAATACAGTTTGTGCTTTTTATATCCGTTGTAGGATGTGACAACCACAAATGCAAGAAATACAAATCCAACAACAGCAGCAAGACCAATAAACACATTTTGAAGACTTGACTTTGGATCATCTGTAAGAAAAAAAAAGCGAGAAATAAAGCATATTGTTTGATGTGAATGTTGTGTAATTTAAGATAAGATGATGTGAACTGGTTCATACTGTATGTTAATATAGTTAATTATAAAGGTTGAAGAGCAGTGTCTACTGCACATCTTATCAAGTTAAGTCTCAGGGTAACTCAAGGTTCACATGTGGGCAACTTATAATTTGTTTTATTTATATTATATTATCTAGACAATGGGTGAAATGTTACCTTGATATTTAAATATGTACCTTGAAGAAATCATTCATCTATCTTTTGTCACATTTGGAAACACCTGATAAACATTTAAATGGATCTACCTCCTGAATCACACGTCTCGCCATTGGATATCAGCATGTGTTGAGTGTTTTCCAGCGACCCATCGTTGATTTCTGGTTTTATCCCAATCAAGTGGCACATAAGAGGGTAAATGTTGACTGTCTCGAAAGGTCCAACCAACAAGTTCTTGTGAAAATCTGGTCCCACTGCCCTGAAAAAAGGCTTCATGTCCATGACTTCATTGTCATAGCCATGTTCTCCTTTATTGTTCTGAAGTGGATAAAACTAGAAGGATGTTTAAAACAAAAAATCACATGAAATGTAATGTTATTTTTTTTATGTTGTTATGTTTTTTTGTGGCGTATTTAGATCTTTACCCCACTAATGACATATCCTGGGTCTGCATAGAGGATGATGGGAAGAAGGCGAGGGTGTTTAGAGTAATGCAGTCGAGCAGGCATGTCTTCTTTCTTATAAATGTGAAGGTTTGGATGGCCTTCTTTCAAGGCATTATAAACTTTGTCAAGCAGCCCTTCTTTGGGCAACAGCATCGCAGTCGGTCCATAGTCCAACAAGTGGAACTGCAGATCTTTGTAAGAGAATCCTGGGATGTCGGTGAGGACTATTTCTTTGACTTGGTCTCCTTTGAACACTGTGCTCATTCCATGGTCAGCTGTGATGATGATGTTCATATGGTCACTGAGCCCGAGTTTCTCAGCAGTTTCTCGTATGTAGCCCACAGTTCGGTCCACTTTCTCAACTGCCTCACGACGCTCAGGTGAATCAGGGCCATGTTTGTGGCCGCTTTCATCCGGGTCACCAAAATACAAAGTTACAAAATCTAAGTCTTGTTCTTTAAACCAGTCTTTCATGACTTTGTCTACGTTCTCCTTCCATGCCGTCTCATTGGTATAGTCATAGGCTCTTGGTTCTACCTCCCTCTCTTGAACGGTTTCATTCTGATAAGTCGCTGCAGTTCCAGGGAAGTGTAAGGACCCTGTTTTAAGACCCTAAGAGGGGACACAGATTTATAGCCCAAGTACTGTTTATGTATATCTCTTTCAAGTTTAAAATGAATTAAATGTGACCCTGGAATAGAAAAAACTTATGTCTTATGTTGCACAAGTATTTTTGCCAAAATAGTCAAAATGCCCCCCAAAAATCTATAGAATATTAATTAAAATGATGTTCTATTAATGCATTTTTTTTTTCAACTGTAAACATATCAATAATTCATTTTTGATTAGAAATTTTCATGGCTAAGAACTTAACTTGGACAAATTTGAAGGTGAATTTCTCAATGTTTCGAACCGTTGGATTGCAGACATTTAAATAGTTGTGTCTCTGCCAATTATTGCTTTGTCCTAAGAAACCATCAATGCAAAATGTATTCAAATTATAAATATGTATAAATCTCACATTGACACTGTTTTGTGGTCTAGGTGTAACCCTACCGGTCCTACACTACTAAGAGCTTTCTCTTGTCAGGCAATGATTATGACAAAGCACCTGTTGTTGGGGGAAATTCTCCTGCCGACTCCGGACAACAGTTCATCAAACTCAGTCGGATGCAACGCTGAAACTCCATCATCCAGGTATAGTTTCTGGAGAAGTTTATGAGTTCACAGAGCACCTCAGAATGGATCTAATGGACTCAGGCACGTCTCCAAACGAATTGATGCAGTTTTTCAGTCTTTCTAAAGCAGATATATAAAGCTATTCTCTCAATAAAATCCATGTTAGCCATTTAGCAATGAAGCTAGTCACCAGGCAGACAGAAGCCCTAGCCATGACGTGAATCCGTGTCTGTTGTGTAGTGAATTTGACTTGCGAATTAAGCAAGTAAACTCAAAATGTTCACGTGTCTATTTACGTGTGATTTATCCTCGCGCACCATGTCAGGTGTGAACTCATTACACGCATCCCCCTACACCTCACTCCCATCTGGATCATGGCATCAATTTAACCCCACCAGTCTTACATTACCAAACCTGCACCGGGCTGGGATCGAACAGGCAACTTTCTGCAAAGAAGGCCAACGACCATGGCCTCTAGCGGCTGTCACTAGAGCACCTTTTAGAGGTGAGTGAGGTTTACCTGCACAGCACACTGGGTCACAAATGTAAGTGCAATAATATTACCAGCTGGTCTTATGTTGGTCTTATTTCAAAGATGCCTTTTAGAGCTTCTAATTAATAATTGATTGACTATGCCTTGAGATGTACCTGTCTCTGAGCTGTGATCCAAATGGGTAGAGTTCCATTATCCCAATATTCATCCACAAACTGCGTCATGTAGTACTCTTTCCTTTGTCGTGTGGTTGTGTTGAACCACACATTGTGAATTACGCCATGGTTCTCAATGTACCTTCCTGTGGAGAAAAACAATTGATCATTGATTCAATTATTTCTGTATCTGTATGCATTGAGGTGAATGTCATGCTTTATCATTCGTATTATTTATGATTATACAATATTGTATTTTATAGTAAACCACCCATACATCAATTAAAAAGTCAATGCAATTCATTATTTTAGTATTTAAACATAGTGCGCTGATTACCTACAGTACCATAATTATCTTTACTATTGGTTATGATGGATGTTTTTTTTTCACACAATATGTAGACAGATGCATTGTTTACTAGTACAATGCTACACCGTTTTTAGGGTCAGCATTGTGTGAAATAAATAATTTTGATTCATTTAATTTATTCTCCTTACCAGACAGGAGGGTGAAGTGTGAAGGACTTGTTATGGTCAGGTAAGGTGGAGTGACATATGCTGCTTTGACTCCATCCACAGCCATCTTATCCAAGTTTGGGGTGTCCACATCTCGGTCGTAATCCCACCTGAACCCATCAAAGCTGATTAGAAGCAGTTTGTTTCTTCCTCTGGTGCAACGATCTCTGGCAGGAGCAGAGAGAGATGCTGGGAATACAAGCAGCAAAATACTCAGTGCCAGTAACATGACAGGTATTCCACTACTTAGTTTCACACAGAAAAAAATAGCTGTTTTTTCAGTCTGATCTTATGGATTTATCAGCTGTCGGCTTAATTCTTTTGTCTAGGTGCTTTGCCATCAGTTTCTACAGACTTAAGTTCACATTATCATTGAGGTTTATGAGACTGATTGCATGTTTGTTATCTTGTCTTATCTACAGTCTTATCAGAAGTTATAGAGCAACAACAATCCCTCAGCTCTTTTCCTTATTTTTTTATAGCTTACAGTATTGAATTAAATGTTGGCTGCATGAAGTCTACTGTATATTTTGTATCTATATAAGTGTATAGACAGTCTATTATCTTGTAAAAATGGTTAGGAACAAAATGTAGCATCAGATAATTGTCGTTGTAATCTTCTGATAATCATTGAGACAGTGTTAATGGTGACATAGTGTTCAAGGAAAATATAACTCCACCACCAAAAAACAATACTCAAACAAAACCAGGGCTAGCGATAAAAAAGACAAACCTCTGCTTTTAATTGTTTAATAAAGTGTGCTTTATGTTTTGGCTCACACCTCTCATTTAAGAATTTTTAATAAAGATACTCTAAGATCGCCTTCTGTCCTTACTTGTTATTTTATCTAAAAAAAAAAGGTTAATGTTTTTTTTTCCAAAAATAAACTGTTTTTGTCTTCTGTGTGCACAAAAGTATTCTCATGGCTTTAAAATACAGCATACTGATTGAACCACTGAATGCATTTGATTTGTTTTGAGTTGTTTTTTTTCTGGACACTTGCTGTCTATAGAGGATGGCAGCTCTCAGATTTAATCTAAAATATCCTATAAGTATTCAAAGATGAATGAATGGCCCCGGGGTTTGGGTCAACATAAAGGTGAGTAGTCAATAGCATATTTCAGCTTTGGGTGAACTAACCCTTTTTGGCATCCTGTACTACATAAGCTTGTCCACCAGAGGGAGGTTTTGACTAAGGAAAACTTAGAATTGTCTCTTTATTGAGATTTATTACAGTCAAGTGTAAAATTTTATGCATCTGTTAATTATGAAGATTTAATTTATTTAGAATGATGGATGAAAGCAATAAAGACACATTTACAACCCAAAAAGACACAATCTACAAACTTTTGTGTAATACAAGATGAGTCATCATCATGACAGACTGCAATAATTTTGACTTACTCTGACTGAACTTGAAATTTACTACTGGGTGCATGACTGTGGCTTTTGGGTAATTGTGACAGGAACCTCAGAAACAATTTGACTACAATGACCTTATGAGTTTCTGGGAAGACCTGAAAAAAATCTATATATACATTCATCTGTCTTGGTTGTTCAGTGCTTGTCATGGGCCAGGCCCTTTGCCTTCAGAACTTTAATTCCTTGTGGTATATATTCAACAAGGTGCTGCATCAACCCTTCAAGTTTTTAGTAATTGCTGACCTGATATCATACACTTCTATGGTGAATGTCTCCTGTACCACCACATTCCAAAGATTGTGATGAAAATCTTGTTACTTGGGAGGAGCATTGACTCTAGCAAACCAGCAGCGAACCAACAAGAACCAGCTTCAATATTAATAATAATAATAAAAACTGATTTGAGCTTTGTAACAAGGCATGTGTCCATCATGTAGTCATAAATGAATGGAGATGGTCAGCAACAACATTCAAAAAGACTGGCATTTACACAATACTCAGTTTCTATTAAATGAGGCCCTACAGTCTTTGCCCCAAGAACATTTCCCTCACACACCATTACATCACCAGCAGCTTGAACTGTTGAAAGCAGTATAGATTCAAGCTTTATATGTTGTGTATGCCAAATTCTGACCTTATCATCCAAATGTTAAAAACAGAAAGTGAGACTCATAAGACCAGGCAACCTTTTTCAAAGTCATCTACTTCCAACTTTGGTGAGCCTTTGTAAACTATACAGCTTCAGTTTCCTGTTCTTAGCTGACAAGCGTGGGACTGGTTTGGTTTTCTGATTTAACAAGGTTGGGTGTAGGCTACTCTGTGTTCAGATATGCTTTATTTATTTATTTTTTTTTATTTTTTTTGCAGACATTGGTGGTAAACGAGTAGCTATCTTTCTAGTTGATATAGATATCTAGTTGATATAGAGTTCTAGTTGTCTTTCTGTCAGATCACACAATATGATCATTGTCATCGGATCTTTTTTTGCCCACAGAACTGCCACTGTTTGAACAGTTTATCAATTGTTTACCATTAATCTTTGTAAACCATAGTAATATAAATGGTTGTGTTTGAAAATTTAGCTAAATACCCAGACAGCTCCTTCATCAACAGTCATTTTCAACGCCGTTTAAATTATTTTGATGCTCGGTTCGAACTTTACCATACCTTCTTGTCTTCACTTACATGCCAAAATGCTTTAAATGGTTGCCATGTGATTGGCTAATTAGATGTTGTTAACGAACAGTTAACGTACGAAGTGAGTAAAGTTAAGCAAGCCTATGTTTTACTTATTTCCTTCGCCAGTACTGACTGTGGTTGAGTTTTCTATTACAGCCACATGATGGCGACAGACACCTTTTAGTTTTTTTTTCTTTATTTCACAAAAGTTCTGCAGAAATCATTATTTTTGTGTGTGTGTGTGTGTGTGTGTGTGTGTGTGTGTGTGTGTGTGTGTGTGTGTGTGTGTGTGTGTGTGTGTGTGTGTGTGTGTGTGTGTGTGTGTGTGGTTATTTTTGAGGATATATTGTTTAGAGTTAGGGAGTATTTCTAATAAAAATCTGAATAACTAGAATAAAATTAGTAAATGGTGAGGAAATTATAATTTGTTTTGGGTGAACTATTATTTAATGTTAAACACTTGCTTACTGCTAAACAGATATTTATTATTTTTTTATTTTTTTATTTAGGTATAATCAGAAGTCACAAAGGATAAATGTGTGTGAAGTCTGTAAAGTGCTCTTGGGTTCTTGAAATGCAAATGATAACAAATCGTAAACTCCACATTTAGGACACATTTACCAGAGTGGTGCAAGATGTCTTACAATTGTAAGTAACAACTAAAATAGTTGACCTGAAGCTAGCCTATTATAGCACGATTAAGACTACATGCTCTCATAGGTGCTCACATTTTTGTTTCCGCAGGACAAAACTGTCTACAACTTGTTTTGGTCATTTTTCTAAAATGCTTCCATTTTTGACATAAGGATTTTAAGAAAAAGGTGTAAAGCATTCATTATATTATTAAAGACAAAATTTTTATTGTTTTAGTGAACTTGATACTAAAGTTTGGTAAAATAAAGGCCTAGTTCAAAAAATATACCAAACTATATTAGATTAAAGTTGCCATGGGTAATTTCATAATTTATTTCATAATATTTAGAAGTAAATAGCAATAAAACAAAAACATTTATATTTATAACACAGTGGAGTTCAATGCTGAGAACACTAGAGCAGAATCTGCCTTTGACTTGATTTTCTTACCAAAGTCTCTGCACTGTCGGGTGACAGTATGTATTTTTAAAAAAATCTGAATAACTTCCACAATTAAATTGAAATATTTTATTTTAGTTAGCTTTTAACAATAAAACAAAGGGTTACATTAAATTTAAATTGAAAATCTGGAAACATACCAATAGGGTACGACAAGGCTGTGTCAGCTCACATATTCTTTTTATAGCTTTTTACAAATGAATGTTCAAGTAAGCATTCACAGAATTTTATTTTAAATATACAGCCATACTGATTTATTTAGAGAATAATTATATAAGTGTTATCTACCAGTCAGAAATTAGCCAGTTTATCGATTGGTGTGATAAAAATAGGCTAAAAATAAATACTAAGAAACCAGAAGAGATGGTATTTGAACCAAAGCGTAGGCTATATTGTAGGTGACCATTGTCAAGTGGTTGTACACGACCATCCTATTACTCAGTCAGAGACCTATAAGTACTTGGGCATTTACAGTACATTGACAGTTATTTTAACATGGAAAACACATAGAGTGAGTTTGCTCTCGTTTACACCGGAGATTGTATTTTTTACGGAGGTCACGACTTTTTGGAGAAGAAGAAGCTTATGATGTTGTTTTATAAAGCTGTTCTTGAAAGCATGGTTAGATATGGTACAGTGTGATTTGGCAACCTATCTGTAAAAAGTGTAAATCTAAGTCTCTTAAAGACAGGATGGAAAATAGTTGGGCACGATGAATATTTTAATCCTCAAGATTTATATGAGAATTGTGTCCTCAATCAGGTGGAAAGGATTCTGAATGATCCCACTCATTTTTTGTTTCCACATTATGAATTGCTTTTCTCTGAGAGTCCCTAAGTGTAGGTTGAACCGATAAATAATCCTTTGTACCAGTTTCAGTGGGTTTACTTAACAAGATCTTAATTAACATTGTAATTATTGTAACTATTGTATTGTGTATTGTTTTTTATTGTTTGTGTTTTTGGAATGTCTGCATCAATATGGTGATGTCCAATAAAATATTTTTGTCAAAGACAATAAAGTTTTACTACTACTTACTACTACTTCCTCTCTTCTCAGATGGGATATTGGGCTGAATCAAAGCTTTCCATGCACCAACTTCGGCCCCTCTAGCCCTAGTTTGGGCATCACTGTTCTAGATACACCAACTGTAAGGCCTATTTCATCCTTATCTTCTTTGCTTTTGTAGGCTTTAAAGAAATAAAACCAGAAAAAAAAGATCTATTAAAACTTTAATGTATAGAAAACAGAAGACACAAAATTTAGTTGTATTAGGGTCCGTGTAGGTCCGGACCTATTAGCCCCACCCACAATGGTCTTCGAAATCCAATGTAGAGAATCCACGAGCTGATTTTAGATTGTCATGTTTAATAACCAATCCGATTGCTTTTTGTAAATATGGGTGTGGCCTTTCATAGTTTCGCGGTACTGCTTCCGACAGGCCCTCCTGATTTGCACCTGCCGAGCTAGTGTTGTTCCCATTCTGACAAACTTCCGGTGACCTGTTATTGTAAGTTTTCTTCCATTTTACACGGTTCCATTTACAGCATCGATGTTGTAATGTCATTAAAATACAATCAGTTAAATAGACTTGGCATTTATTTAGTT